CTTCTTTGGTGTGGCCAAGCACAAGAAAATTACCAACCCACTCCACCATTCAAAACCTGGAAGCTAAGGCCGCCACAGAAGGACGTTTTTTCAGAGGCGGACGGTGCGGGAAGCGTAAGAGTTCCTTTCCGAAGCGCATCTATAATTACTACAAATCTTTTGTCTGTACCGTTTACTGTAATTCAAAATTAAATTAAAGGCTCTCAAGATGATAGCTTGATGTTACTGCGCACTAAAAATACTTGCATTATACTTTTTTACCATCGTTTGTCCTTCATAAATGTCCGCGCTCAAGTTTTTTTATTAGAATGTCTTATGAGGTTTGTTGAAAACAAAACAAAGAAAAGTATTGACAACAAATCTGCATTTACTTGATAGTGGTAAATACACATAGGTACCGAATAACAAAACTGCGCTTTCAATCAGAACTCGTCCTTCAAACCCTTCCAGGGTTGCTTTTCCATAACTCTTCATCACACAAAGAAATATTAATTATGACCAGTAACTGCTCTCACTATCTTCCGTAACGTGGCCTTTTGTTTCAAAACCCGAACCCTTATCTACATCTCATGGTACGTCAACTTTTAATCTCTGGCGGCTTTTCATCTCTCGCGGTAATAAATGTTCCTATGAACTCTCCATGGCTTTAATTTCCCCTCTATCAAATTAAAATAAGTACTGTTATTCACCGTCAAAATACTGAAGAAGGATATCAGGCGAGATTTTTTCAAAATGGACCTAAAATTCTCTCCTGCTTAATTGACGGATGCAAACTGGAAAATTTAAGAAATTCGAATCTGTTTCAGTCGTACTCTGAAAGTTGAGTAACATTGCATTATGTTGAAATAAAATTTAGAGATTCTCGACAAATGGAAGCTGTTTTTTTTTCCATTAACTAAAATTCTTCTTTCTTTACATTAATTACAAGTAAAACATGTCACAAATCTGGCAAACTTTGCACATCATTGATAAATTATTTACCAAAACGTTTTGAAAAAATACAAAAAAAAAAAAATACAAATACTCCACGTGTAGATAATGAAATTTTCTTTTTACAGACAGGGATAGTAAACTAGACAGAAAGCAAAAGTTATTTGTATCTATGGAACAATAGTTAATTCCAGATACCCGTGAGAATCTTCCATGAACGATAAACGAGATTTTACTACCTGGCATGAATAAAAGGCGTGTTTTGGTGGTTTCATGGACGCTGTATTCAGAATTAAGTAAAATTTTCCATCTAGGTTTGTGGCCATATTGGGAAAGATGTTTACAGTACATACGCAAAAGCACCACAGTACGTCTTATTACTTTGTATTAGCACCAGTCGGTACCATTATTACAATGGGCGAAAGAAAAAAAACGTAAAGAAAATATTGTGTATCATAAACAAACGAAAATAGATGACACTTGTTTAGAATCAAGCTACTTTCTCGGAGTTATTCATTTGCAATTTGCCTCCAGTCTTTAATGTCTATCTTTGTTCTCTTACGTTTTGTCTGCTCGATCGATCTCAAGTATACGAAGTTAGCCAAAGCGTTAGGGAATAGTTAGGGAAAATATAACGTTTCGTATAGACTAACTTGAAATTGTCGAAACACTTTAAGTAATTCATGAAGGCAATATATATGAGGTGCTAGATAGTTACTCGCGATATATTGGTTTCAATGAGACAAATCTCCAAGCAGATTTTATAGCATCAAGTAACCTTCAAAGTCGTTACCTTGCATTCCTGGTGAAATTTAATTATTAGACGCAAATTTACCCACATACGATGATTGTGTTCTTACTGAGCTTTCATCGCTGGATAATATTTGAACGTTATATGTCTTCGTCGATTGAACTTGCCAGGTTTTCCGATTATTTAGACAGATCATAACAAGCTGCCCTTGTTTTCTAGTTAAACAAGTTTAAAATGTGAATGAAAATTGTGTATCGCCGCATTGGCTAAAAAGGATCGTTGTTAAATGTCAGAGGCGTTGAACAAGTCAAGGTATTCGTCCATGTGTTTATCACCTAACAAGTTTCCAATCGATGCTGAAAAAGGAAAATCTGAAATTTTTACTCGAACAGACCACATCGAAAAGATAGGACTTTTAATTTCTCATTTTGAACTTCCCAACGTTACAAAAAAGTTTTATCACCTGAAAATGGTTAATTATAATATTTATATAAGACATCTAAGCGAAGGTCAAGAGCGATTTTTATCGGATGGCAAAATGTAACACAGGAAACAGCCTAATGTTGAAATTCTGCGCTGTAAAAAATTGAAATAAAAGTACAATTCCAAGTTTAAAATTGACTTCAAAATGCGTGGAAGCTGCGAGAAAACCTCAAGGAAACTGCTCGATCAAGAAACCCTGGGGCGACCTCAGGCGGTAACAAAAAATTAAATGGTTTGAATGATCAATTAAGCCGCATTTTACCAACAGTTTCAGCATTTATTTCGGTATCTTACCTCGCGCGTAAAAATGACTAGTTTAGTCGCGTCTCTTCTTAATGTTAGCATGGATCGTTTATGATGTCTCTTCAATCGAAGATACTGCATATTTGTCTTTTTTTTTAAAAGGCTCAAAATTCTAATACCTACAACATTTTAGGAGTTAATCGTGAATAAGGAGTGAATCGCTTTTTATATAGGACTGCGTCATTAGAAAGGAACCCTCTCTGACCGGAAATTGAAATTGAAGTTTTGTTCTGCGAGGCCCGCTGTGCTAGCATCTCGGCAGTATTGTTGTGCTTTCAAATCGCGCTATAAGTAACCTTGCAGTATACATAGCTCCCTCCCTGCCGCGACTTCTTCCAAACAGTGAAAACACGAACATTGTTACGATCCAAATGTTTGAAGGAAACAGAGATGAAAATATAGAAAATAGTTTAGAGCAAGGAGATTTTTCTCAACATAACTCTTTGCGTGAACGAAGTGGCTTTCTTGCATGTGTTGTGTCCTTCCGTGATCTCTCAGTTCGCGGTGCTTCAGCGGGAATCCGCGCTTTTGTATCAGCGTTCCAATTTGGAAAACAATTGCCTTACTTCTGAGTCGATTTGTTTTTCTAACTATTGGTACTCTGAAAAATGGGTGGGATCGTTTGGGTTCGGCTACATGGTTTGATTCGCTTGTTTGAGGCGCAACAGTACTAAAATTTCATTATTTTAGAATTCAAGATAGTCTTGATGATACCAGTTTTTCATTTTGTCCAGTTTTTGTTTTTGTGTGTTCTCGCAAATACCTTTGGTAGAGAAAAATCCTGAAGTTAAATAAAATTGTAGGACGGTCTTATAAGAATCTTCTGTTATTCAGAAAGATGTAGCAAGAGCATAAAGCTTAGAGAGTGAAATTCCATTTTTGCATTTAACCAATTTGGGTTTGAAAGAGGAGTTTGAATGTACTGAGAGTTGTATTGCGGTTTGGTATGATTCAATTTAATCATAAAAAAAGCTGTAACGTTCGCTGTGATCACCTTTAGTGCTATGCTGCCTGCAGTGTACGAGCAGTTTTATCAGACGGTAGAATGCATCAAACAATAGTTTTTGAAGTAGTACTTTTACGGTAATTCCATATGTTAGGCTACAATTTAAGCAACATAAAAGCAAGAAAATTACTGGCGGCGGGTCGATTAAAAAATACTGCGTTACCACTTTTCTGTGCGGACTTTGTTTAGACCAATTTGTGCTTTTGTTTATCTCTCAGATTATTGACTCCTCGCTAATGACTGCCATATGCTTGATTGATGGAGTTTTTAACCATGAAATAACTTTAGAGCAGTAATGCTTAGAAGTTTGCAAAAGTTACTAACTAGGTTTAATTTATCGCGACAGCATTGAAAGCAGTGTTTGGAAAACTTTGTCGAGCTGAGATGGTCAAAGTTCGACGAAGTTGTTTACTTTGATGTGAGCTCGTCATTTATACAAAAAGCTAAGACACAAAACATTACGCCAAGCTTTATAGATGGGGGACGGGTTAATTAAGAAAATTACGCTGTAGTGAGCTCAAGCGTGCTGTAAATAGGCCTCCCCAATGTTGCACAACAGACGATGAAGAGAGAAGTAAACAAAGGGCTGCCAACAGAGGACAAACAATGGATTACTAACTAAATAATGAGCTCTGCGAGCTAAAAGAACACTACTGGATTCCAGCTATTATGCTATTTGTTTTAACCATTGAGGTGTGTGTAAAAACGCTCTTACGATGAATTAGCATATGAAAGCAGTTAAGTCGCGGCTCATATGTTTTCCACGCTGCGCCTTTGTTTAATTCCCAAACAAATAACTCCACAGGGTTGTCAAGAAAAAACTGGACTCGTCTACACTTGACCTTTTGAAGCTCTCAAGACAAAACTGTTCAAGACAGTCGAACAATCAACAAAAAAGCGAAGATGGTATCGTTTTTGATCGGCGCAAGAAGAAAGAAGGCTGGACAGAGTTTACCGTGGCTTTTCTATGTAATCATAGCCAAATAAAGGTCCGTAAGCTACATGCGAAGGTGCTAATTAACCGAAGTGAAGCTTTACACACTATTTCTTCTGCTAATTGCCTTAAGCAATTAAGAGACTCTGAAATGAGACGAAAGAGCCATAACAGTTGAATGGTATTGAGACAAGTCTCTTGTGTTGAGTGTAAAAGAACGAGATGGTTCTCTCTGTCGACTAAATTTATTCCATAGCCTTTAGATTTTCGCTTTTTAAAGGACAGTTTTTCTCTGAAAAGGAAAGGTTTAAGTTTGGAAAGGAGCCTAAAGAGTGAAAAATGAAGCCAGGAAAACTACGGTAACGGCATAACTATATAATTAACTCCGGCGCTCTTCAATAAAACATGCAGGTTTTGGAATACAGTTGTTCCTGTGTGTGATAATAGACTTACTCTTTCACCTGTTAAGGTACTAGCTGAGAAATATCAATTGAATAGATTATAACTCGTTGGCAAACAGTTCTGATTTACATGTCCACACAAGGAAACCGTGTCGTTAAATTTTAATGTGGTAATTGAATTAACAAGACACATTTCAGCCATAAATATTTATCTGGTATTTGCTCACATTCACGGATTGAGGTGTCAACGTACTAGCAAAATTTACAAATTTACACGATTTAGTTATTGACTTTACTTGTCTCATTAATGTTTAAAACGGTGACTTTGAAATTAACTTTCACTAGATTTTTTTTGACCTGCTAGTCCCAAACAGTACGTTTTAGACAATTAACGAAAATATTGAACAAAGTGGCTTTAGTAATAATGCGAATTAGCGACGAATCACTGTAAATAAACATCATTTCAGCTGGCTATTTCTTGTCGTACAACCGCAAATATATCACAGTTTCTTGGGTGCTTTGTTTTCGCTCCTCGGTTTAATTTCTATTCTGTCTTTTCTTTTAAATCAAGATTTATATCAACGTCCAATTTAAACGTTTATTTGCACTCGGACAGGAAAGTGGTGCGCGAAGCGGGAGAAGCGTTTTCTTTTAAGAAAGAGAAGGTAGGTCGTAATGCAGGAGAACCAAATGGTATTTTAGGTACTGTGCTGAACGCAGACGGGAAAACAGAGTCACTATTTGTCATGAACCTGTCTGCTGAAAATGGGGAAGAAGGTCTTGAACTCGGCCACTGTGGTTCCATTGTGGGACGTGCATGGCTGACGGGGAAATGGCCACTTTGAGGGAAAGACGGTGGTAGAACGCCAAACCCGTGGCAGCGGCTTGGAAGGCTCATCTCTGGTGATGAAGAAAAAAGGCATCGGATGCTAGGAGATGGGTGTGGAAGAACTGGCGTTGGATGAGGGAGGGACGAATTACAGTTCATTGTACAGGACATTCCCAATAGGTCGTTTCTTCTCATATGCGGAGACAAAGACGCTGAGAATATGGATGGTGGATAGGGCCAGAAACTTGAACAGAAACCAGCTTGAGATGGGTCCAAAGGATACCTTGGAATTGGAGAGATTCTCTGTTGCCGTTTTAGCGCTATACGGTTTCTGGACGATGGAGGATTTCGTCGTTTAAGCTTCCCTGTCGTACCACCGATGACCACATCGTCTGCACTAGGATCTAACATCCAGTAATTGCCTTTACCAGGATCGTCGTAGTGGCGAGGGATTTTCACGAAACATTTGTTGAGGGAGAGGTTGTGTCTGATGGAGTTCTGCCAACCTTGCTTGTTATTACGATAGTACGGAAAATTCTGCGAAAAAAAAACAAAAAAGAACAAAAAAATTGATAATCAAATTAGTCCGAAAGGCCAGATGTCAATTCGCAAATTAGTCATGATATTGATGAGCCGGTTTCACGTTGTTCTTTGCGGTAAACGTTACAAATAAATAATATTATCAGTACTTAATTTGGATAAATTTTCTATCCGATGGCTTTTTTCGATTACGCTGAAATGTAACAAGCTCGTTTTGTTTTAACCCACTTTGGGTTAGATATACCTTACATAAAATCCACAGTTAAACTGACTAACTGTCAATTGTTCTCATAATATTACTCATATTAAAAGCTTAAAGAGTAAAAAAAAACTTAGTAGTGAAATAAAGACAGCACGTTGGATACTGACCTTCATAATGAAATCGTATATACCACTCAGAGTCAGTCTTTTCTCCGGTGACCCGCGAATAGCCATCATTATTAAAGCATTGTACGAAAATGGCGGCTTCTCAAACTTTTTCTCTTCTCCCCCTTTGCTTTCGCACTTTCCTGTTTGCTCGTCCTCTTTGGAGTTTTCAGACTCTTTATCTTCTTCGCTTACCCTCTCTTGGTTAGCAACCGAATGGCCATCCTGGTTTCCCGAAACCTTCTCGTCCGAAGTTGTTATCGTTTCTTGAGAACCCATTTCTTTATTATATAATCCAACCTGATCTTTCATGACCACTACAATGTCCGTCGTGCTTGTAAAAAACTGTGTACAAATGCTATCAATTCAACGAGACCTGGTTGTCACAATGTTTACACGACAGCGCACGGATAGACGAGTGGCAGCTTCTCAACTGACGGCGTTAATTTGTTGTCAGTATTTTTGACCCAATGTTAACCAAGCAGCGTAATTGATACGGTGGTGTACCATTTTTTATCGCGAGCCAATCAAAACGCCAGGTTACAAACAAAGTGCAGTGACATGAAAGAGACATCAGGGTCGATGATGCGGTCGTTCATTGTGTGAAGTGTTTGTGTTAATAATCTACGTTTTATTGTTTGCTTCAAAGAGGTGCTAAATTCGCAACCAATAACTTTGCCTAAGAGTCCAGTGTGGCTCCGCCTTTTTAACGAAACTACACGCGGGGGTTACAATCAAACAATGTAATGAATAGCACAAGTAACCCATACTGTCTTCAAAAGAGCTATAATTCGTGATTAGTAAGGAGTTAGGTTTTTGTTCTTTCCAGTCCATTTTGAATATCTTAGATCATTGTTGTTACATGTATTTCCTGCCTCGCCGCTGGTGGCGTCTGTATAACAATCCTTCGCGGTTCATTTTACCTTTGGGGCATGCCTGATTTCTTCTCACTTGAGAATCATGTGAGATGCCACGCAGAACCGACATGTCTTCTAATCTTCAGAGCCTTTCCCTAAAGAAAAGGAAGATGACTTTGTGTGCGGGATAATGGCCTATTAATAACCCATGCAAACAAACAAACATGAGTGCTTCTGATATGTGGCAGTTTGGCGATAGTAAAAATCAAAGATAGCTTCAGTTTGAGATTTCGCCAGACATGTTCGAACGCTTTGGTGGATATTAATATTCGATATTATCCTATCCTTTGAATGAACTGACTTTGACAAGTTTAGTTAGTTTTTCTGTTCTTTGCCATTGTCTTAACTAACGAATGGGACGGCAGTAACTGAAAAGTTAATTTGATCTTTGTAACGTGGTAGGAACTATGTTTGAATAAATGAAACTCGGTGTGAAGATCAACTTTGCAAAAATTTGATTGTAGATATGAAGTAAATTACTATATCGAACTTTCAAAGCAAGAACATTAGGAGCCGGCTTTGTTTTGAAGACTGAAGACAAGATACATGCCACAGTCACGAATGGCGTGATGCACGCAGGAGCGCCTCCTTTGTTCCAAGTAGCTATTGTTCAGTTAAATATACCAACTCCATGTGCTTCGCGAGATGGCCACTTCTTTTGGGTTGCAAAGATTTCCAACTGGGGACTGCTGATCGTAACTACATGAAAACCCGGGGGATAAAGGTGAAACGAGCGTGGGAAAAAAACCAAATTCACGACATCCAAATCACAATGCATAAAGTTATTTATAGGTACGTCTCTGTTTGATACTAGAAAATTAACTCTCTGGTCTCGAGTGAAAGAGACAAACAGGGCACTTATATTCACGAAAACAAAGGAAAAAGAACGGATCGACATATAGTTAAGACATCGTTGTTTAGCCACAGCAGAAATTTTCTGCCATGTTCATTAAATTGACTCATGAATGTTACTTGTTTATTGTCATTTCGTGGTTTTACAGCAAAATTTTCCAATTGCCGTGAGGAAAATAGCTGACAAATGAAATTTCGGGAAGAGCAAATGGTTCCCTGATTTCTATCGGATCACAATGTTGACAAAAATCTAAGAAATTCTTTGTTTTCCAGTTAATTTCTTATTCACCTTTTCACATAATAAACGCTGGTGACCAATAATGCTTATAACAAAAATGACAGAGAACCATTACAGAAAGAAATAAAAAAACGGTTCTTTTTGGAATTATATATTAGACAGAATAACGTAAGTATACAAATTTTTTTTGGAATTATATATTAGACAGAATAAAGTATGTATAGGAAATATATTGTAAACTTATGGTAAATTTATGATTACTTTAGGTCGGATTAAGAGATCAAACGCCACCATAACTAAACTACTTACAGATCTTGATGAAGATTTAAAACAGTCAAGCATTCAACCGTTTGTTGACAAAATGTCTTCATACAACGCCGAGGTAACGTATCAGTAAAAAAAAACTCAAATGTTTTTTGCAAAATGGGTCAGTAGTTGTTCTGACGAAAAACTAGCCGGAGCAAGTTCGGCGACAACGCCCTTGATAGCTAAACATTATCACCCGTGTTGTCAAAACACGGAACTTGACATACTGACGGGATCTTAAGATCAATAAAACGTGAGATAAAGAAACACCGCAAATCACAAAAGCACAGACCCCCACATAACACAGCTTGGTGTTACGGCAAAGAAAAGTTTATCACTAGTGGACGCAGTAGGTGCCGCGGAAGGGAGCACACGGTGCTGTGATCAACAGCTGTTGACGACCCTTCGCCATACTCTATCTTCGATCAACCATCTACTTTGGTCACGAACAGTTTATTTGGCCATTACTCGGCTCTTAAAGAACCAGATTGTGGCAGAACAAGCTCAGGTTAGTTCTAGTTAGTGGAAGCTAAACGATAATCGACTTTTAAATTACAAGAACGGTTTCATCTGTCTTCTAGTGATTGCGAGTCCTGCGCTTTCCTGTCAGCATGAGTATATACCCATATGAATACGCGTTGTTTGAAATCCTCTATGGGTGAGTTAATAATGACGTCAGTGTTTACGTTTGTTCTTAAACATGTTGGTTTGGTCGCAGAGAACGTTCCGGTAGACACGAATTCTATTTCAAAAGTTTAGGGAATATACTAGCGTGGGCTATCTGTAAAGTTTTGAACTCTTTCCAAGGAATCTTCTTGAAAATACCGTCCATCAATAACTGCATTTCCGGGTGGTAGAACTTACGATGAACCTAACACTTTTTGTTAATGACGAGTGTTTGAAGAATCATGTCTATGAAGGCATTTTCTATTTTGAGCGCATATTTTCAAACGAAGTCAGCTACACTCATTTAGAATTCCGAATGCTTCGGCGTCTGATATCTTACCTGGTAATGATCAGTAACAAAATAGTGGCAAAGCAACTGTTGTGAACAGCTGATTTCGAGATTTGACGCGACAAATTCAAGTTCTTTTACAGCTCCTACACGCTCTGACTGATGAGCAATCTTTAAGGTTTACCCATTCAATTAAAGTTGCGAGGCCGTTGATTCATTATGGCTGTTGACACTTGAAAAACTATTGAAATTTAAAAACTTGGAGAACACTCCAGTTGCACCCAGAGGAAGGGAAGACATTTTGAATAGCGGTGAGAGGTATGGGTCTAAACTAAAAAAGTTAATTACACTCTTAAATCAGAATTAAAAGGTCAGGGTTTGAACGCTGTTTGAACACTGTTTGAACGCTGCCCTACCTAGTCGCTTCATTACACTGACGAAAGCTGGAATACGCCCCGACTATGATATTAAGGCGTGCAGTTTACATCAGGGTGAGAGATTAGCAGTTAACACAAACACACACCATAATACGATGGATGTGAGCAATTAAGAGAGGATTTTAAAAATGTCGTCATACAACGTAACACTTCGAAATATGAGGACCGATTAGCGCAGATTTTATACGCGAAAGGCTCAGACAGAATAGCCTAAGAATGTAAGATCAGAGTGAATCCTCGATCCTTTGGCAAATCTTGAGTTACAGCTCACTTCAAGGCATGCCTTGAGATCTTTAAAATTCATCCGTTGGTTGGTCGCGGTTTGTGAGAAGCTCGAGCATCAATAACCTTAAAAGATCGATTGGGCAATTTTTCTGAGTGCCGAAAGGAGTTTTGGGATTGCTTTGCTTTTGCTTTACTTCGCGCGCTGACTGGCCTGGAAAGCTCGCGCCACTTTCTCAACCAATCAGATTGTGAACTAAAGCCAACAGTGACTTGAACAATCGCATTTCCCCGCGCTTCATGAAGTTTTCTTGTTTTCACTTTAAATTCTCATTGGCTCCTTGTGACATTTACCTTTATGCTGATTGGCTGTAGTCAGGAGCCCATTATTAGGCTCCTGCTGTCGTAAAGTAACGACGCTCAATCGAAATGGGCTCATTATGAAGAGTTTTAATCGAATAGTACAAAAAGATTGTTGTGAAGTGAAATTATCGTTAGTTTGTTTATTAAATCAGACTAAATTGCTTTGTTAATTTGACTCACTATGAGAATCAAATGGTCGCTCTTGGGAGTGAAAGGGTGAAGGCCTGTAAGCAACAAAATTGGTACCAGGTAGATAAACATGGAAATCCATAGACTCCCAGTTTACCGTTTTGCGCTTCTTTACGCATTTTACTGACACCATTGTGAAAAAATCTATACTGCAACGAAGAAGGACAAAAAAATTACAGTTTTCAAAGATATGCGGATGTATCCTTGCTGTTGTATATTCATTTAATGGAGAAATTCACTCTTTAATTGCTCTAAATCTTGTCTTTATTCATGGATTAAGTACCTAATAAGCTAATACAATCATGTTGCTTGATTACAGTATTTTTACATTATTCAGCAGTCCCATTGGTACAGGTGCTTTTACCATTTTCTCAGTGCATTGCACTTACCTCTCCACCCTTTACACCCTAACATCAGTATGAATATTCTCCATTCTGTTCTCCATACATTTCCTGAAGCGCTGACAAGGAGAATTTGTTTAAAAATCAAGAGGAGTTAATGATCATTTCCTTGATTCTCGCGACCACGATGTTCGTTTCAGGGATGATATTGTAATGAGAAATTAGAATCTGGTCACTCTTAGGGGTTAAAGGGTTATGTACCATTCAACACAAAAATTAACGTTTTAAGGCTATTACTTTTACGTATTTGCTTAAAACCTCTATGAAACTTGGCAGATACACTACGCTCGAAACCGTCGATTGATGTCTGATGATTTTCTAACGGTAATACACAAAAGGAAAATTTGTCAGCGTTGCGTGACAACGTCGAACTATTGCGTGACTAACACCGTATTGTTTAGAGGTGTAAATAAACAAGTAACGTTTTATCACTTGTAGATTATTACTACGGCACTGCGTCCTTGCACAAACTTGTCGCCGTTTTCTTTGGTAAAAGTCAATGAATCGATAAACTCAATCACACTGTGATACAAATCTGGCTCGGCAGTTGCCCGGAAATTTTGCTGTTGAGTCAAAAAGTCAATCAACAAGTCACCTCTTTCAGTTGGCTCCTCGGCAAGGCAGCTGGTCACGTTGATCTCAAACTGTTCCTTGAAGGGAACGGAGTACTTCCATCCGTGTTTCTCAGCAATAGCAACAAGCTCCTGATCCGTGCGGAAGGCCATGTCCTCTGAACCACAACTCAGTTTTCCCTTAAATTTGTGGCTCACCAGGGCAAAGAATGAATCCTCAGCTTGAACCAGACACAATATTACCCCACTGTCGGTTGTCAGATGCTCTTCGTAATAAATGCTGTGGTAAAAGTGAATGAGCTGAAAACGATTCTTTTCAGCAGTTTCCTCGTGGAATTCACGAAATGTTTTCTGGTGCCATTCAAACGAGATACTCTCGGTAATCTGTTGTAACAATGGCGGCAACGAAGAAACCTTCGCCTTGAATTCATCGAGGAGACAGGAACTTGGTTCAACGATCACATTCTGGAGTGCAGGCTTCTTGCCCTTTTTCGACGTAAAATATTCCCCTATAGTTGGTAAAATTAGCAAATCCCTGTCACCCGGGCCGCTACCAATTCCCAAAATTTTAAGGGGCTCGCTCGGGTCAACTGTGTCTATAACTTTCTTCAGAGCTTCAGCGGCAGTGTCTTGATTCAAGTGAAGTAAAGCTGATTGTCTGATGTTGGAGTTGTCTATAAGTACCCGGAGAGACCTCTTGTACATTTCCTCCGATTCCCATAACGGCACTTGAGGCATTTCTGAGAGAGGCTAAGTAATATGACGGTGTTTATGAGGCAGCAGCGAATCAGTAATTTTTCAGATGATGCAAGCAGAATCATGCAACTATGTATTAGCGAAGTCAATTAAGCTACTCATGCACACAGATAGGTTAGCACTTTCATACACGTGCAGCCTACGAACTAACTTCATAACGACCCCCTCTCTCAAAATGTTTTTATAAGCAACTTTTGTAGAAAAAGTGATACAGAAGGCAAAGGAAAAAGGACGAATAAGGAGAAAAAAAGGGGGAGATGAACCAATGTATAAAAGCGTGACATATTCATGACTATTTGCATGTGATTTGCATGATGTGTCATTTGCTGTCATTTTGCCTTAATTTCTTTCGTGTATTTGTTTGTTTTATTTTGTTTTTTTTTTTTTTAAAAACCAAGTCCAAATTCATTGCGGCAGTTGACCAGTGACGTCAGGGAGTTGATCAGTGGTGTCGACGAGTTGAACAAAGGTTTTTGGCAAATTTACAAGTGTTGTTGGCGAGTTGACATGTCGGGGAAGTGATCGGTAACCGTTTTGATCGACTCTGAGGTTTATAGTTTACTAGTTTAATTGGGTTTCGTTGTCATCAACTGTCACGCGACAAAAGTCTCGGGCTTATAATCTTATTGTTAAGAGGTTGGAGTCGTAAGATTCTGAAGCGCAGAAGGTTTTATTAATAATATTTTGACACTTTATTACCAGAATTCCTAACATACGTTAAACGGTGTAAATTAGATTATTAATTCAATCAATGAATATGACTGAATAGAAATATCCTTGGAGTAAATGAAAGGCCACGCTTAACGAAATTTCATCAAGAGGAAATTTTACTTTCTCTGCTTTAAGTCCTAGTGCGCTATGCATTTACTCCCTCGATTCTTCTGGACAGTCAGGTTGTTTAGAAGGGTGGGACACTTTGAAAGCCTCTAACTTGGAGAGATCATCATTAATTCTTGATATGACTGGAAACTGGGACATGTCAACTTTAAACCTATCACCAAAAAGAGCCTTGTGTGAGAAGGGTATGATTCAAATGTAGCAGTTTAAGGTCAAGTCGCCCAAAAGCAATCTCGCCCAAATCATATAAAAAAATTGCCTCAATCCATCCACCCCCACCCCTCCAAAAATTACCCTGTCCATCCACCCCCATACCCCTAAAATATTACCCTGTCCATACATCCCCATTCCCTTAAAAAATTACCCTGTCCATCCAACCCCATCCTCTTGAAAAAGGTTACCTTGTCTATCCACCCCCATCCCCTAAAAAAATTACCATGTCCATCCACCCCCATCCCCTCGAAAAATTGCCTTTTTCATCCATCCCCATCCTCTCAAAAAATTGCCCTGCCCATCCACTCCCATCCCCTCAAAAAGTAGCGAGAAGAGTAGAACTCATAGGAAGCCATTGACAACACAGATGTGATAAGTTCAAGAGCGCAATCTTGGACCACCCTCTGCACAACCTCAAAATTACTGCCTCTGCTCAAATCTTGCTCACATCTTTCCCTCCTTCCTTTCCTTTACAATAATGATTACATTTGTTGAAATTGTAAAGAGCTTAATTTTGAAATTAGCTTGCCCATTCAACATTATTCTTTCACTTTGTGAACAAGTTAGGCTTGGAAAAATAACTTTGAATAACAACTCTCTAGGGTCAGCTACTGTATATTAACACACCGATTATTTTGTTGTTGTGTAAATGTTCTCTAGCAAGAAAAAGAAATCATGTCTGTTCAAGATTTGGGGAAAAGGAAATAAGTGCCTCCCTCAAAAAAGCTCTTACCCAGCTCCTTCCCTCAAAAAAATTGCCCCCCATCCTGACCTAAATATGAAATAAGAGCCCTGGGTCGGGTTGTTCAAAGCTGGGTTAAGATAATTGTTATTTGTCTACAGTTGATAACTGGATGCCTTTCAAATAGAAAATAATTATAGAAAATTATCCAAGAAAGTCTTTTGAACAAAGGGATAAAGAAACCCAGATTAAAATTTAACCCTAGGTTGGCCCTAATCAGCCTTCAAACAACTGGTATACCTGTTTGCATTGTACACCTGAGGAACCAGGCATAAGTCAGCCATTGATATCTGCCAAGTTGAAAATGATAAGCAATTAATTACAGATATGCTTAACAGACTACTTATAATAAAGAGAGCACATTTGTAAAAGTAATTATATTACCTATTAAAGAAACATATTTCTTATTGATAGTTACCTCATCTCCAACACAATACTTCCCTGATGTCCTTTCCAAGATTTTCTCTAGATCTGTCAGTCAAGATGATTAATATTTAACCCTTTATAATCTAACAGCATTCTGTATATTCTCAGTACTATTCTCTATACATTTCCTAAGGTGTTGGCAATGAGAATTTGGTTAACAATCAAGAGCTTCTTTAGTTGGTGATCATTTCCTTTTTTTCCTGTGACCTTAAAATTTGATTCAGGGGTGATACTGTGAGGAGAAATTAGACGCTAGTTGCTCTTAGGAGCCAAAGGGTTAACAATTAAACTGCACAATTGAATAAGACCCATATCAGATTTAGAATTTTTTAAGTGTGGGGGAGTGGGGAAGGGAGAAGGAGGAAGGAGAGGGGAGGGGTAGGAGAAAGGTTGCAATGCACATGAACCAGATAGCCTAGTGAGCTTTGTGCTCATCTACATGTATTGGCTGATTGTGGGTAATTTGCTGCAGAGGAGCTTCTCCTCTCAATCAATACCAAGTTAAAGGATCATGCCCATGACAACAGCACACTAAGGAAAATTTGGCTCTAGTCTTGCTCACCTTTCACTCTTACATCAAGAAAGTTAAAAGAAAGTAAGAATCTCTTGTTCACAGCTCACACAACTATTATCACTTTGAACTGAAAGTGTAAAAAGCACTGCCAGAAAACAGAAGGCAATTAATTTAACTTGCTGCATACCATAGCCTCTATTATAGAGGGAAGTCACTTAATGAATGTGTTAACTCACTATGAAATCCTTTGTTTATCCAATGATGTCCCCATTCTGCTTTTCTCTCGTCGCCAAGATACTTCAGGACAGAAAGATTCTGGATTGGTTGTATTCCACTGGCTATTGTTTGGCTCACTTGCCTCACCTGAAAGATTTTCCACGAATTAAATCTGATAATTTCAATCTAACTAGAGTGCTTTTAAATTGAGTACCATTAATAAAACTAAAACCAAAGTCATCACCACCCGATGAATGCCCAATCAGAAGAGAGAAGAATACTTTTCAGAGCTAAGAAGACGTCAACACTAAACCAACCAAACTGCCTGAAATGCAAGAAAATGCTGGCAACCAAGTTGTGATTGATTTTAGTTTTGAACATCATTGTTTTAGAAGGTGGTGAAAGTTTCCTAGACTGATCACAGAGCAAAGTAAAGCAGAAAACATTTAGCATCCCAGATTACTTTTGAAAATTGCTGCAAATTAGATCATGTATATATCATGATGACTACTTGTAATTCAGCTTCAAATCTGAGGACATTGATGGTAGAATTTTCTATATTCCAAACACAGAGAATAACTTCATACCAGTGCTTTCTTGAATGGGTCATCTCTGGGTAGCAGGGGGGGATCAGGTCTTGTTTCATCCAGATACTCTATTATGCTGAGCTGCAAAATTGAACATGATCCATTAGACCCTAAGCTTAATGTTCTTTGAATCACTTCTGTATTTTTTTTTCCTCTGCATCTCGCAATTATCAGGATCTCCAATGCATGGGTTGTTTGACAAAGAGTACCTGCCAAACTAATTGAAGGAAGAAGAAGGTAACTAAGGATGGAATAATCCCAACCAGTGTGCTCCTAATCATGACTAGGAGTATTTCTACTCCCCCCTGGATGAGATCCTAGTCCATGGAAAATTGCCCCTCCCCCTTTCATCAGAATTTCATGAGGCTTCCTTCACAGACTACCACTACCCAAATGCAAAGATTCCACACTTACTGAGTCAGCAAGGGTGTGTCCATCTATAACCAGAGCAGGAACATAGCCCATGGGATTTAACTTTTTAAACTCATCTGAAAACTTTATAAGAACAATCATAATTTTTGCACATATAAATAACAAAGTTAACCATATTTTATCTCATGTAAGGTTATTCTATTGTAATGGATACTGGTAACTCCTCTTTTTAATATGTCTAAATTTGCTGAATCAGTTGCAAACTTAAAGGTCCTATCAACATGACAGCCTTTTCTCTGTGTCTGAAGCCCACCACACAGATGCATAAATTATCATATATACAAAATTTTTAATTGACCCTTTAACTCCCAAGATATCATTAGTAATTCCCTTTACTTTCTGCCATGCAAATTAACATTAGTTTGGAGAATTTGGAATTGGATCGACCAATAATCCCCTAGTTGATATTTTTCTTTATTCTCACTACTTGTCTGCTTAATATTGTACTGATAGAGTGGGGAGAAGTACTGTGCTCTGATATCTTAACAAAAAATATCATATCATATCATGTTGTGTGTCCACCTCATTTGTGTGAACACTCAAAATTAAAGAGCCAATCAAAGACATTTGTAAAAACTTACTTGCTGGCCTCCATCTTTCAGCAAGTGAACAGCATGTGTGTCATAATCAATTTCTTTTAAGGCAAGAGCTAAGGAAACACAATAGTAGCATTACTGAGTTTCACAAGAAGCCTTGTATTATTTGCATAATCATAAAAGTAGGCAGTTGGCATCTATTTTGCAAACGCTTTACGTTGAAAGACTTGGGAAATAATGCTTGGCCTATGTTTCATTTTAGGTCACTCTGTCATTTATTATTTCTTTTTGTTAAAACATTGAGGAAACTGAATTTTTTATATTTTGCTCTTTCATGAAAAAAAATTTAAAAAATACTGGAATATTTAAATACAACCTTCTTGAACTTGTGCCTGTGCCAATCTGGGTAGATCAATTATGCAATAACTTTTTAAGAGCATCCCAAAATTTTAGTAGCTTTCTTGTTCAGCAACAATGTTCTGGATGTAACATTCCTATTTGAAAAATTGGATGTTCAACACAAAGTCAAATTCAAACTCAAAGTCAAAGTCAAACTATTAATAAATAATTAACTTCTTTCATGCCCCAAATATTATTGACCTTGACCAAACCCAGTTATCATCTGATGTAGCTGAGGATATCAAATAAGGCAATCTGAAAAACACTGTCATGACATACCAGTCCTAACTCTCCACGAGCAAGAACTTCGGAAATAAGAATACAACACTGGCTGTAAAGAGAAATCACAGGAAAGCATAATTATTGAAAACCATGCAAACTTTTTTTTCTTCAAGTTAACTGAGTCAGTCTGTGGCACAACAGAAATCAAACAAACAAAGGCAGCAAAGTTTACAGTTTAAACAACACAAAATACAATGAAAAACCAAAAGACACACAAAAAAAAGTCAATTAATTTTTCATGGTAAGCCATTCCTGTTAACACCTCTACCCAGCCCCTGAGATTTGATCAAAGCTGATTGATATTATTTTCCAGGCTTAATTTAAAATTCAGTTTTACTTTAAATTTCAGTCTTTTTTCAAAGCTGCTTTCAGCAAACATATATGTGCATTGTGAAGAATAGGTCTATTACATTTGTCTGTCTAGGAATCATTTAATGAGGGGTGTCGAGGAGTAAAGGAAAATTTTGTTCATTAAGTGTTCACATGAACAGAACTGAGAAAATCGAGGCAAACTAGAGCAAATTTAGCTTGAAACTGAACAGGTCAGCAATAGTTCTTTGAAATAAGGTTGAAAGGCAAACGTATACACCTAATAACTGAATATGTCTTCGCCAAAATCTGTCGTGATTCAAGATTTAGAGCTCCCTCCTGGAGGTTGCGCGCGCTGCGAGCTCCGCTGTTAAATGTTACAGGCGAGTTTTTGATTGAAAAAGAAAAAGATGGCCTCGATACTAGTCGAACTTAGCCATAACTTAATTTTCATATTTTGTCTATAGAATCAAAGAAGGTGTTTTCGTCGCAAGAAGGATAGAAGATTGCAATCAAAGCGCACTTACTTTCGCCATGTCGACCATCGTCAAATATTGCTCCAGGCATTCTAGACGTTAGAAACCAGTCTTTTTACGTTGGAAGCATCTTATTGTCACATATTATTTATTCAAATGCTGAGAGATGGAGGTCGGACGTGAATTCATTGCCGGTTGGTGCGCAGGTAAATCAAGGGAAAATTATTTATTTTACTCAAACCCACTTTGTATGGAGTAAAGAATCGAACAGACCCCGGGAAGTAATTACTTTGGTGGTATTGTTGATATAAATCAGCGAGGCTTGATGTAAATTCGTCCACGAAACCTCTCCGTCGACAGTTACTTTGATATAAAGGAACTGTAAGAAAACCACTACGACGATGACGACCTTGAGAACGTAGCAAAACAAAAGATTTAATGAGAACGCAGCGAAGCTAATGGTAAAATCTCCGCACAGCCCCATACTACATTATGCATTCAGTTCTTGGATAGAGAAAACAATGAAAATACAATACATTGCCATTGGGAAAACAGATCTGTTTTACAATAGTATAGGGCTGTGCGGAAATTTGACCAAACTAATGATCAAATAAGAAAAAAATATTTTATTTTTCCAGAATAATTGAGGTCGAGGTAGGGGTTAGCAGCCAAAGCCGATCGAAGGCCGAGGCTAAAAACCATGCGTTACCGAGACGTTATAGGACAAAAGGAAGACTGGACCATTGGACACCTGGACTCCTGGACTATCGGACTATTTTTTGGGACCAATTTTTTGGACCACCCCCTAGACCCTCTTTTTTTGTACCATTTTATTGGGGGTAGGCAGACCATCAGTACTCAGGGAGGGGTGGGATGAGTCTATCAGTAATCAGGGAGGGTGGGAGGCAGACTATTGTTACGGGGAGGGGAAGAAGACGAACCGCTAATACGCAGGGAGGGGTGGCGGGAAGTTGTATCAACAAATGCTAATGATTAATGTTATTTTTTTTTTACTGGATCATACAAATTATTTTGAGTGGTTTTCCGACTGGCTATTTCTTATGTTAAAATTTTTGCGCATAGTGGTGGCGTTTCTTTATTTTTTTTTCTGTCATGCGAATGCGAAGCTGGCATCTGAACACTGGACTATAATTGTTATTGAAAATATCGCCAATTCCCGTTTTCTATCATCCACTCTTGAGTCACGCATGTGCCTTTTAAGTTGACTCGTTCCAGTGCTAAATAATACTCACTGGTTATCACGAATCATCCACCAGTTGCTTAACGTTTCCCTTTCAGTATATCATTACTAAATTTTTTCCATCTACCTTTTGTCATTGATCTTAATTGAAAAAAGAGATCGCGAAATTTCCGGTCCTTAGCCCTTAATTTAGCGGCATGGTATTCACCAACGCTATTGAAATTTCAACGTTTACACCTCTACTATGAAAACATTGTCGGTACAAACGTTGAAAGCAATCTTCCCTCCCTGAGCAACAACAGTCTGCCCCCTACCTTTTCCTGAGTAGTCATAGATAGTATCCCACCCCCGCCTGAATACTAGAGGTCTATCTCCACCCCCCCCCCTCCCGATAAAGTGGTCCCAAAAAATGGTCTTAAAAAGTAGTCCAGTCTATATGTTATCCTATGCCTTACTGAGACCTTGATTATTCTGAACATCAACAAAAACCGAATCTAAAAACTGAATCTAGTCCCATTTTTACTTTGAACTTGACACCACATTCACATGTTATGCCGAAGTGAAGATGTCGCACCGTCAGAAACGGATCGAACTATTGGTGAAAATCTTAGAGGAAAATAAATTACGTTTTTTCAGTAACATATTACCACACGTCGCTGTCGCCGTAGTGACATCTTAAACTCCCTAATATTCACACGAGGCGAGATTTTTTATGCGTGTTGTACGTTTTCTGGTCGAGATTTGCATTTTAAGTCTGGTATAATCGACTTGGACTCCATCCAACCTGTCACCATTCTTTACGCGCTGAAAGTACGGGTGATAGTTGGTTGCGTTTAGCATGTGCATAGCACGCGGCAAAAATAATGAAATTTTATTTTCTGATCACGCGACGGCTGTTAGTTAAGCAGAGAATTGAGAAATTGTGAGTAAAAGAGTGACTCGTTTATCGCAGAAGCTTCAAATATGAAAGTGCACGCCAGCGATGTTTATCATACCACGTATAGCATCGTTCTATTGTACATATCGAATACGACGGGTTTACCACATTACCCTTCTTTTTTCCTATATTTCTTTCCTAAACTGCAGGATGCGCTGGAGTGATTGTCACACAACCGTTGGATACTGTGAAGGTGAGCGAAACGCGTGTTCAACCTTGGGCCTATCCAGGCTAATAAGTATTAACATTGTGACCTTTTTGAACTTTAATTAGCCTTCGCGATTCCGATAGAGTAACTAATGCCTGGTTCACACGTGCGATGCAAATGTAACACAAATGTAAATGCATGGAAATGTTTGTGTGAACTACCTTAATGCAATTGGAATGCAAGCGCGAACGCAAGCGTCAACGTAAGAAATGGAAAAAAATATTTTTTCTTGCACTTTTAGTTGCGTTTGCGTTCGCTTCCCACACGTGTGAACCGGGTTAACGCAAACGCAAATGTAAATGTAAGGCGAGAAACACAGTTTCCATGGGTTCCATACCCCACGGCACAGTTCAATATGGCGTTATGCTAAGAGCTGGGGAGGGTGGTGGAAATCTCCTGCATTGTCAGCGATTCGGTTTTCCTCTAACAGATCTTAAGTAAGAAATCAAAATGCTTGTAAAATTGAACTTATCTTATAAAACCTTATTGACAATTGCTCTCGACCAATGAGCGCGCGAGATCACTAGAATTTCTACAGCTATTTCAAAAATATATAATGGACCTCATATTATTCATAGGTGAGAATGCAAGTTCTCTCTTCAGGAAGAAAACCAGCCGTTACCACATCGTTTTCCTGTTTTTACAATATCATCAAACATGAAACGGTGAGAGCTTCGTTGAATATTCTCTTCAAGTCTTATTCAAGCAACTAAGGCGCGATGAGAGCGGAGGAGTGAAATTAAAAAACAGAAAGGTTTGGGTTGAATCGTGTTAAGTTCTCAATGTCACCCGGCCTGGGCTTTCCTCGTTTTTGCTCTACCGCTGCTTTTGCGCCGTTCGCTATTTCGCTCTGTTTTATGCCATAAGTCAGTGAGTGACGTTTCCGTAGATGATTGGTGATATCTAACACACGTTAAAAAAATTATCATAATTTTTTACACATGTGCAGTTAGCACCTTTTCATAGGGCGGGAAATCCTTAAATAACACCGCAGGTCATATGCTTAAGTGTATTAATAGACGTCCTCATAGGCATTGTCCTGGTGATTGCCGTATATCTCTTGTTTTCCTAAGGGGTTATGTTTTTCCTCTTTCCTTTCTACTTTCCTACTCGATCTTATCTTGATCCATGTTAGGTATTCGGTTTGTTCAAAGGCATGGCACCTCCTCTTGCTGCTGTGGCCCTACAGAACGCCATTTTATTTGGAGTATATGGTAATGTGCTGAAAATGTTCTCATCCGAGAAAGGGGACAAGCCAGCGCTGTCTCACGTCTGTGTGGCCGCGGCTGCCTCGGGAGCCGCTCAGCTCTGGGTGGTGAGTCCTATGGAACTTATCAAGATCAAACTACAGATGCAAACCGAAGGTACAAGCTAGTTGAGTTATTTTCAAATCGTTGCCGAAATTAATTTTTAAATAGTTTTGCTTAAGCTCGCTTTTTGATTGGTCAAGAAATTTACGTCATTTATCTCATACAATCAAATGCTAAACGTTAGCCAATCGCGACCTGATCTCCTGCGTTTTCCAGCGCTTTAGACGCTTGGCGCGTTTTTACTTTCAATCTTTATTTGGAACTTGAGAACTGCTAAGAATGGTAAGGCAGAAACTTGTGGAATTGTACTCATGTCTTTGATGAAAAGTCATGTCGGGGATAGGAAAAGTGTTCAGAGGAACTTGCTCGACATGATGAAGTTCGACTTAATCCTTTATCACCCAAGATCCAATTAGCTTTCCTTCCGACTGACTGCTATACAGCTCCTTGCAGTTAGACAAGAGAATTTGGTTTTACGCTAAGATTACATCTGCTAGCTGAATATCATGTCTGCTCTTATGAACTGTTTGACGGATAGCATTCAGAGTCACCATCAGAAGTTGCATGTTAATCACTTCTGGGAATAAAAGGTTTAGATCGAGCAGAGATTTCATTTCAGCAATTCAGGCAGTATGCCAATATTGATATATATAACGAGCTAAGTCATGTTTTTGCTTTTGTTTCAAAATTATGACAAGCGTTTTGCTATAGTTTCGTTAGGAAAGCATGGGAAATCTTCGCACTATCGCGGAGCTCTAGATTGCATCCGCAAGATTTACAAGACGGCCGGTAGCAGGGGATTTTTCCAAGGAGCTACACCTCTTGTTTTCCGGGATATCCCGGGCTTTGCCGTTTACTTTGCATCATACGAGATCCTTCTGGATGCGCTCTCACAAAAAAAGTCACGCACTGACATGCAACCGCTGGTTACAGTGTTCGCTGGAGGCCTTGCTGGAATGATAAGCTGGTTCTCCACTTTTCCGTTTGACGGCATTAAGTCTCGTATGCAGGCAGATGGGAATAAAGGACTTTTTATCTACAAAGGAACTGCGGATTGTTTTCTTCAAACGTACAGGGCAGGAGGCTTGAAAAGTTTTTACGCGGGCCTAGGACCATGCTTACTACGAGCGTTTCCACACAACGCAGTTCTTTTCCTTGTGTACAACTTGGTCTCGAACTGGTTAGGAGAATCGCATCTCAATAATGGCCACAATTTAAATGTGGATTAATTAGAGCCAAAAGAGAACAGTTAGTTGGTTAAGCGTTTTACCTTCATTTACCAACATTTATGTACGAAGTGTAATAGAAACGGAGAAAGTAGATTGATTCCTCTTTTAAATTAAATGAACTAGAAATTTGACAAATTATTTAACTTGCGGAATTTATTTGCAATAACTTTTTTCCAAGAGTTTCCTCATTCAATGATGTCTATTGAACTTATACTGAATTCAATATGCGGCACATTTCGATACGTTATTCAGCGATGAAGAAAACTTTTAAAAAATTCGTGTTGAACCATACTTGTTTGGGAAACTCCACGTTGCCATGTTTTCAACCAATTAGATGCAAAACTTAAACCAGACGACACTCTACACATTTTCCTTTGTTTTGAGAAAACAAAAAAAGTCTTAATATGAATTAGTTTCTCAGCTGTGTCATACAAAATCAGTGTTACAGTGCCTCCCCCTAGCACATGCGCTGCATTCGGACAAGAGGAAATAATAGAATCTTCAAGTTTCCCTTGATTCAGGTGAATATATCTTTGTACCGTATTTTCTTTTCTTCTTTACGACGATTTGATTTGGGAGGTGCATGAGGGAAGATGGTTGTTTGAAAGGTTGGCTTTAAAAGATATAGGTATGCTTTTGCCTCAGTTTCAACGGGTTGTCTGTCTTTTAAAATCAGTCAATATTAGCGTGTCTGAAAAGTTCTGCCTTGCATATCTAAATGCTGAACAGTTGGGTCTTCGGTAGAAATAAGCAGATTGGGCCCTTTTTCCGGGTTTGGCCAGCCCATTAAATAAAGAAGTACGTCAGTTTGTCACAACAGCTTTATAAGATTCATGCCTTTCGTAGTGATAGATCAGTTCCCGCTTTGTGCAGTTTCGCACCATTAATTACTAATTAATTAGTATGTTTAAATTGGTTCCTAGTCGTTTGCCACTAACTGAATGCAGCGCGAAAATAAAAACAATTTTTTGTTGTTCCAGTTAGATTGAGTCGGTAAATTGAACTATTAGTAAGAGTCGATAAATTCGAGTCAAAACTTTTGAGTCGCGTTTAATAAAGGTAGAAAATACGGTCGTATCTGCATGAACTTCTAAAATCTAAAGGTCATGAACTTTTAAACTTCTAAAAATCCAAAGAAGACTCCGACATGTTTTTCAAAAGGCGTTAAAACTGTTGGAGGTGACAGTTTGACAATTCTGAATTGAGTTTCATGTCTCCCAAGCTGCAGAAACATGTTTGTATTGTCTACGTATTTCAGCTAAAGAGGAAGAAAACGGTACACCAACTGTTTGGTATCATAGGCCGACGGAAATTGTCTATATCACTTACAGTAAAACATATTTTTATCTGAGACGCTAAATCAGAAGTTGACATAAAGGAGAAACAAAAATTGGAATAAAATTGAAAATGAACCTAGAAAGTTTATCAAGATAATTTGGTTTCATCAACTGAGTTGATAATGTAAATTGACCACCGTAAAGAGTTTCAAAGCTGAGGTTTTGAGCACTAGCCATTCGTCAGAATGTTTCGTCGCCTTTCGCTCCGACGAAGGGCTAACGCTAGAAACGTCAGCTTTGAAATTCTTTACGGTGGCCAATTTACTTTATCAACTCAGTTGTTAGAACCAAAATTATCTCGTTATACTCCCCCTGACGCAGCACCGTAGTTTCTTTAGGAAACTACTCCCTTTATTTATTAGTTAGTTTACCAGTCGCATTGAGTCTGGACATCAGACTTAATTTATCACTTGGAAATATTCATGATTTGCGGAGGCAAAAATAATCTGCCATAAGTTATTAAATGAAAGCCCGGAAACAAGTTTTGTCTCGCAGGAGAGTAAATCAGTGTTGGTGAAGCCCGCTTCCTTGGAGTTGATTCAGTTAGGGAATAATAGGCTAAGATTTTCTCTTTATAAGCTTATACAAGTATCTAATGAAAAGTACGGATTAGCAATAAGATTTTAGGATTGGGTTATTAATTGGCTTACAAAAGATAACAGATTTCGCCAACGTCACGGTTTGAAGTAGGGCTTCCGAAAGGCCATTTACGTGGAATCTGGGTGAAATGAATGTCAGTATCTTTGAAGGTTCCACTGAAAGTGATAAAAAACATCAGAGAGTTAAGTTTGTTTTTTACCATCAGGAAAAGGTAGTTTTGGGACAGTCGAAATAGTTAAGCCGGTTGTTTACAACCTTTTTGCCCTCGAGGGAATATTTTATTGGGTCAAGGTCGTTAGACCGGTTGAATGGAAATTATTTACTTTCAATGCCATTTAGCAGGTTTCTTTGATAAAAAAAATCAGGATTGCTATCAAGCTTCTCGCTTGAGACTCGCCAAGCTCAATGTGATTTCTTTATTTTCCAGTTCGTTCGAAACCAAGAACGCAACTACTGGTGCGTGTATTAAATGTACATTGATTTGCTGCAAAGCTTATTCCCTGCATGCATGTTGGAAATGTCTACTTTTTTACCGCATAGGGAAGAGGTAAGTTGCCGCGCATAGTGCCCTTCTCGATTGAAATGTCATTATGTGTAGAGGGCGAAATCAAGATTCAGTTAAGTCCTGTTAAAATGTATTTGAGCGCATATAATTTTTTCCACAAGAAAAATGTCTGGGATGTTTTGTCTGTAGCACAATGCAAATCTTGTTTTTCATTTTCGCACGCGTGGCACGTGGTCTTATTGTGTGGTTTTCTTAGCTCCGACGGCATGTCGGCAAGCAATCAATCAAGGCTATTCGTTTCTCAGGTAACTTCTGTTTTGCATAAATGTTCCACTCATAGTAAAAAGCTTCAATTGACAATTTGACCATTCCTCTCTGCACCCTTACAGTCGAATATTTGGATATAATACGCTTTTTATCTCATTTAAAAGATAAGTATTGAAGTTGTTTTAAATTCAAACAAAAACCCTGTTTCGACTTGTTTTCAAGCTGACTATCTCCTCGAGGAGAAAGGTTAAAACAACACCGGAAACTAAGACTTATCTTTATCTCCAACTAGCCAATCAAAACCCCAATGTCAATAATGACATCACTTCCGCTAGCTCCCGACTTACCACGAACGCAACCTTTGAATTCTGATGTAGTTTCCTTATATTTAAACCGTTTTCGCTGAATAAGGAATCAACAATATTTTCACGACACGCATGTTACCGGCTGCGCGTTCGAAATGGAGAGCAATGAGAGAAAATTACTCATGGAAGAATCCGAGAGCCGTGTCATTAAATGTGTGATCGTGGGAGACGGCGGAGTTGGTAAAACTTCCTTGCTTATTAGCTATCTTATGAACGGATTTCCCAACGATTATATTCCGACGGCTTTTGACGACTACAGTGGTAGGTCGAGGTTACGAATGAGTTCTTGATGGCCATGTTTCTGCGGTGAAGAGAATTCTCGTGCCATTCATTATTTATTTTGTTGTTATTTCAGTGTCGGTAAAAGTCGATAAGGTGCCCTATTCACTGCAATTCTGCGATACTGCAGGACAGGTAAGTCGCTTTTGTTTCGAAATTATTTATTTCGATTTTACTTTCCCTGAGATCTGTTGCATTTATGTCGTAATTCTTCTATTTGCAATAAAATTAAGTAAATAAAAGACTGCGTTAAAATTTGTAAAATGCCTTGTGAATTCATGGTTCGTGACAGGGGTTTATTACTAGCACAGTAAGCAATGTGTTTCTTTTTTAATAATTTATCAAACCGTTTCGGTTCAATGAAACATATTCTTTCGTTGTATATTGATTTAATGCTCAATTAAGCTAGCAATTGAACGAAGTTAAGAAATATGCCGATCAAAGTTACCTCACACAAGTTTCAAGGAGCGTGATGTAATTGCCTCGTCTTGAAAGATCACAAAGTTTAAAACAGTTTGTTTACATTGCGAAAGTGTCTTAATTTGCATGCGCTATCTAGTTGTTATGTTGAATATTATATTGTTTATTTTGCAAATTTAAGGAGGACTTTGACTCTCTCCGGCCGCTCTGTTATCCATCAACAGACGTTTTTATTGTTTGCTTTTCCGTGGTTTCGCCGACATCTTTCGCAAATGTTGCACAAAAATGGCTCCCTGAAATACGTGGCTATTCGTCAAATGTTCCTGTCATCCTTGTAGGAACACACTGTGATTTGAGAGCGAACGTTCAAGAACTAATACGCCTTTCTGACCTTGGACAAGGACCTATTACGCCGCAGAAAGCCGAGAGCCTAGTCAAGAAGGCAGGGGTCGTTTGCTATATTGAAACTTCAGCAGTAACTCAGAAGAACTTGAAATCCGTTTTTGATGAAGCAATTATTAGCGGATTAAGACCACCAACGTCTTCAAGAAGAAGTGACCTCAAAGGTTGCGCTTGTACTGTGATGTAATACTGTAACACGCTTCAACTGTTTCCTATTTGGTTCTCAAGTTTCGGGTTTGACGTAACTTTCTTGAGAAGATACTTGTCAGCAACCGTTAAAATATCACAGTGATATCACTGTTGGAAATAATATAATTGGTTATGAAATATTTATTTATAATTTTTTTAAAGACCACGTTTCAATCATGCGCTCAAAGCGGACCACAAAGGAGACATTAATTTCCTGTTGTGTTAAAAGGAAAGTGGAGACAAAAATAATTTGCTATTTATATTCTTTTCTGAAGGAAATTGAGGTCTTTTTAAAAGGGAACCAACATAAAAAAAATTAGCCTGCCAGACTATGTGGCTGTTTTTGCCGTAATTAACGTAATGATTTAAGTAATACATGATGGTGACCCTCTCAGGAATATTGTTAACATTAAACCGGCCGGCCTGGCATGGTTCAGTGGCTTTCCCTTCATCCATATTTTTAGAACCTTATACTTCATTTTGTCATTGTGTGATCAGTATGTTGAAATCAAATGACAGCAATAATTACTGACCCCTATTTTACACTTGGGTGAACAGTCAGGTCTGCAATTTGATTTTAATAAAAGTTAGGTGCAGGTACTGAGAAAATCACAATATATTTTGCATTGCTCATACTAACCAAAACCACCGGATGACTTTGTGAATAGGTCTTCCTGCTAAAAGCACTATATGTCATGCAATATTATGTCTCATTTCATGTATTAATTGAGTTCACAGACTCAACAGGAAATAAATTTGAGTACAAAGTTATGGGCAAAAGTGATGCATGCTATTTAAAAGTAATTTTAATAAGAATCTTCCTCCAGCAGTGACACACTGTTGAATGGATCCTTAAAATAGACTGGCGGTGGCATATGTAAAGCCTTAAGCCTTAAAATCTCAAAGCTGCTTTAATTTTCTAATTGGCTTGTGTGATCTGTCAGACTCACTTGAGAAATTAGCCATCAGTGTAACTCATATTAAGTCCCTGCGTCTGAGCCTTGTCTGAATGAACAAATTAATGCAATATGTCAGAAAACTTAATACTGGATAGTGACCCATCCAAGAACAATAGCTTGATACATCCTTTACTTTAAGCATCATGCGATTTTCATCGGAACCAATAACTTCTTAACAAATAGACCTCATCTTACCCTGTGTCTGTCCAGTAATAGATCACAGGCGACATTGAAATGAACTGAAAAAGTGTTGACGGAAGCTGGTACCCAGTGTGATTGACAGGTCATTCTCGTGAAGAGTGAGCATATGGAGAGAATCACTGTAGTTTGTGAGTACTAGGGTTGTGTGCAAATCATAATGCCTAAGTAATAGAATAAACAGTAATAAAGAAGTTTTTTCTGCTGGGAGATTTCTTTTACGAGGGCATTTCCAAAAGTGAAGGTGCAGCCAATTGCGTCTGTGATATTCTTTCCTCATTTAGATGTCTTCTGTGATCTATTACTGAACACACCCACTACAGAATAGGTTGTATTTCAGTGTTTTAAATAATAAACAAGCAAAATATTGATAATGGTGATGTCATCTATGCATCTGTCCCCTAAAAGACCATATGTTAAAACCAATCAAAATGCGTGTATAAACCTTTACACCATAACATCTGAATGCATATTCTCCATACTGTTCTCTATACATTTCCAATGAGGCTGACAAGGAGAATTTGTTTAATAATCAAGAGCTGCTTAAGTTGGTGATCATCTCCTCTATTCTCATGACTTTCAGGGGTGATATTGTAAGGAGAAATTAGATGCTAGTCACTCTTAGGGGCTAAAGGGATAATTTAGATTGTTACATAATATAATATAATTAGATTGTTACTTAATATAATATGTTACATAATATTGACTGGGTGGGTAATCATGATTATTTTTACAACAGGCATAACTTTGGATCATAGGGTTATAGCTCAAGTCGTGGCCAACTGAGGCTCGATTTGACTTGGTTATGAATTTTTTCTTGAGAAATGCTTCTCCCCTCCACATGCTCCTTGAAAGTGGTTAAAATCAAGCCCATGGCTGGCCTGGTTCATTGACGTGTGCTCTCTTTAAGTCACTTCCAAGTAACTTCCTGTGTTAATAAGTTTAAGTGATACGAATCCTTAACTGGTTCCATAAAGTGTCTCCTATGTACTATGTGTGACCATGGAGTGCCATAGTCAAGTATTCCGTTATGTAGCATACAATGACCACAATGGTTGTCTGGACGTTTTAAATTGGCTTAGTCCTCACAAATACTTTGACAGAACGATGGGTTGATTAGATTTACGTTTTGACACACACGGAATCGCAACACAAATATTTATCATTATTATTATTAATATTGCTGACGAGGCCCGTGGGCAATATGAAGCGAGTCCAGTGCTCTGACTGGCTACCCGAGAGGGCAAGATGAGCCCATCTTGCCAATATCCAGCCATCTTGACCTTACGCTTGGTCAATATATACCAAACGAAGCCATAGCTAACGGGTGCTAAAATGAAGTAAGCATGAAATTCTATTCTTCGTTGCAATGTTAATGAGTTCCTGCTCTCCTTATAGTTTTCGGGTGCTTTATTGGTTCCCTTTACAATAATTTTTTTTTCACGGATCCATAAGATGCACCATCTTTCTATTTCCGCTGTGACGTTTCATAGAGCGTGAAATGAAAAGCGGTGATTATTCGAGGGTGGCGTTTATTTCAAATTCACTCGTATTTCTGAAATTACTAACCGGTTCATGAATAACGGTAAATCATTAGGACAGTAGTTTGTTTTAAGCTCCAATGTGATATGGATATAAAAGAAGATGCTGAATATAAACGTTTTTTTCGTTGTGATAGTTCGGGTAAACGAAGAATTTTTCAGGTTGGACACGGCAGTTATCATAAGGGCGACGTTAAAATATATAAAATAAATAGAGGCAAAATTGTGTTTAAAACGGTCGTCCTTAGATACATGTACTACTGATTAAACGCCGAAGGTGATAGCAAAATCAAGACGGACTGGAAAGAGTGGTAAAGGTAAATCTAAGTGAACAGCGCTGGATTTGTGTGGCAGGTTAGAGGAAATGGTTGGAAACTGGAGCGAGCAAACAATGGAGGAGCCGATTTGCATCTCTCTTTTTCTTTATTTCATGACTAATACGATCAGCGGCGTAATCAGAAATACGCGCTAAAAATGTACTAAACGGATGGTCTGATTTCTTACAGACTACCGTTTTGACAACAATAAAAGCCAGCGTCGAAATTGTGCAAAAATACTTTCTTAGTTCAGTTCTGAACGACTCCTGTTGAAAAGAATACTTGGATAATACTTTGGCCTTGCTAAATATAGTCAAATACCTCTCTGAGTCATTCCACTTATTTGGTTAGGTACAAAAATTTAAGGTGGAGAGAGCAAACATTGAAAAAATAATCCTCGCCTAAACACCTCAACACAAGATAAAAATGCGATCGGTTAACAATGATAACCGTGTTGAGCCATTCTCGAAGACGCAATGTTCGTCCCATCAGTAAGGGGAAAAGAAAGTCATCATAAATGCCACATCACCTTTTTCCGTAGCGTATTATTAGTTTGCATTTTTTTCCTACGCCGTTCTACTTGAATTTCAAATTTAAGGAGCTTCTTTGTTTATTTAGACAAGCTTTAAATTGGAGCAATGTTCACCAACAATTTTTCGGTTTTATAAATGGGTAGTTGCATTTAGCTACAACTTGTGTGTCGATTAATTAGGGAAGTTGAACACCGTACCACTTCAGTACTAAAATCCAACTTCAGACAGATGTGGCAAAAACATAGGAAAGATCCTCTTGAAAAGAAAAGTAAACGAGGTTCAGTGATCTTCAAACGTTTTTGGTCTGACTTGTCACTCTTAATTAATTCCGAAGAATAGACACAATAGAAGAACCACATAAATCACTTTCATGATTTCAGGAGACTATGTCAAGGTTCTCCTTGAACTCGGGCACTCAAATATATCACTTCATTTGATGCGGTCCTTCGACTCTATCACAGGCGCTACACACGATCATTGTAAGTTTCGTCTTAATTTGCCTCTTGCTTCAATCCACCGCTTTTTATCCAAATCTTGTACCAGATTATCGCTCATCACCTTGCAAATAAAGAAAGAAAAAAACTCTTGAGAGGATTCGTTATCAGTAAGAATAAAACTATGCCTCTCGTCACTCTTGGGAGTGCTGTCAAAAGCGCTTGAGAGCTTCCTTTATTGTGCCATTGTGACTATTTTGATTTCTAGTTTTAAGCGTTAAATGGTGAATATCATTCCAAACTTCAATGACCAGTTTCCGTGAAGTTCTCTCGCATAAAGCAAAAATATAAGACTTTTGTTAACTATAAATTACATTTTGAGGGAAGTTGGTCTTGTGATGTTTACAACCTAAAACGCGTCGAAAGATAAATCATCAGGCTCGTATCACATATCATCTGTGCCATGGCTGACTAGGAAATTTACGGAAAGTTAATTGTCTTGCTAAGCACACATCTCATGCGAAAGGCTCTCATTAGCGCTACGGGATGAACGGCTTCGCCAGCTGTCGCAATGGTTCGATGTGTTTTTGCTTGAAAGCAGTCTTTCATATGATGACGTAACACACAAATATCGCTCATTGTTTAACCTTAATTTGGATAATTATTCACGTCGGCATTTCAGTTTCGAAGACTTTTATTTCATTTCTTCTTTTTGGATGGAAATTTGGTCTTTTTTTCGATTAGATTTCTGATAGACCTAAATTCAATGACTCGCTCTCGAAGCTCATACCATCTTCACCATTTCCTTTAATCCATTTAAGAGAAACTAGTTGATGCAAAAGTATGTACGGTTGGGTGACAAGCTTGCCGCTGACGCTGCATGAGTACGTACCTGCCGCGTATTCGTCTAAACAAGACGACAAATTTATCTCACTCTGTTGTTAGGAGTAGTAAATGCATCATCAATTTAATTAGCCGCTACGTCACACCTTTCGACATGGTCATGTTTCATTGGCTAAACTTAGCTCTCCGATGTCAAACAAGATATCCTTATCAATGTTTTGCAATATTTCTAAATATTCGTATGATATGGAAAATTATATCATTGTCAGCTGAGCCAAATAATAAATGTAAGGGCAAGATCATTCAGGAATCACCGAAGAATTCGTAAAAATCAAAACTTATTCTGGTTGTGCCATCAGAATGTTTCAATTAAAATGAAAAATTAAAATTGTGAACAGTTGATCTAGTAGAAGATATTATAGGACGAGGCAGGAGCCCATTACTTGGACGAGATCATTCAGGAATCTCTCAAGAATTGTAAAATCAAAAAGTATTCTGATGCTCCCATCAGCTTGTTTTGCACAAATCGGTGGATCTATTAATATTGCTGCCAGCTCAGTGACAGCAGTCTGGCTATTAATCAAGTCAGGGGAAGGCTAAATTCTCCCATGAAACATTCACACGGAGAAGAACACAGTTCTCTAACATAACTACCGAGAGCTTTTTTAATCATATGATTATCACGTGGTTTATAACCTTTAAACGTAAATACCGAAATATGTAATAAATTCTTTATTACAGTGTCACAAAATGAATCATGTTGTTGTTTAAGTTCCAATTATCTGCGTCAACTTTCCAGTTTTGTTTCTAAGCCGCATATCAACAAAAGCATATATATATGTGTGTGTGTGTGTAAAGTATATGCATGTTTAAACGACCACATACCAATGAATCAGTGTACATCAGTTGCAGTCTTACATCATTTTTGAGCGGTTGGACTCAGCTTTTCGTCGAAATGTTTTGTATTTGGGCTATAATTTTCATTTTTCATTTAGTGCAATCCACTTCTGGTATTCCACTAAACGTCAATCTTCAAAATTCCACTGGTGTTATTTCGGTTACGAGTAACAATCGTGGACCAACACGTTCAGTTGACAAAACTTTTAACTTCAAAAACTGGGAACTAGGAAAGATTGAACAAAAACTTCTACTGGACATTACAACTCAAGAACGGCGGAACAGAATTTCAATTATGGGGACTGGGACTGGGACTGAGCAGGTGCCAGCGGTGGACGCTGGTCTAGAGCCTCGTTTCGAAAAACATTTGTTTCATTTTTGCCTGATATTGGCGAGAATACAACCTCCTCCCGCCGCTCATGCAGCTGCTATAGCTCTCTGAACTCAAATGGTACTCTCTGTCAGAAGTTCGCCACA